GGGTGTTTCAAACCCGAGTTACATATTCATCACACATTCAACACTACGCGCTACTCAGTAAGGGGTGCTTCAGACACGAGTTACATATTCATCACACATCCATCACTACTTTTCTACTCGTAAGGGGTGTTTCAGACACGAGTTACATATTCATCACACATTCACCACTACGCGCTACTCAGTAAGGGGTGTTTCAGACACAAGTTACATATTCATCACACATTCACCACTACGCGTTACTCAGGAAGGGGTGTTTCAAACCCGAGTTACATATTCATCACACATTCACCACTACGCGTTACTCAGGAAGGGGTGTTTCAAACCCGAGTTACATATTCATCACACATTCACCACTACGCGTTACTCAGGAAGGGGTGTTTCAAACCCGAGTTACATATTCATCACACATTCAACACTACGCGCTACTCAGTAAGGGGTGCTTCAGACACGAGTTACATATTCATCACACATCCATCACTACTTTTTACTCGTAAGGGGTGTTTCAGACACGAGTTACATATTCATCACACATTCACCACTACGCGCTACTCAGTAAGGGGTGTTTCAGACACGAAGTTACATATTCATCACACATTCACCACTACGCGTTACTCAGGAAGGGGTGTTTCAAACCCGAGTTACATATTCATCACACATTCACCACTACGCGTTACTCAGGAAGGGGTGTTTCAAACCCGAGTTACATATTCATCACACATTCACCACTACGCGTTACTCAGGAAGGGGTGTTTCAAACCCGAGTTACATATTCATCACACATTCACCATCTACTTACTCAGGTAAGGGTGTTTCAGAACCCGAAGTTTTCTACTCAGTAAGGGGTGTTTCAAACCCGAGTTACACATTCATCACACATTCACCACCACGCGCTACTCAGTAAGGGGTGTTTCAGATACAAGTTACATATTCATCACACATCCATCACTACTTTTCTACTCGTAAGGGGTGTTTCAGACACGAGTTACATATTCATCACACATTCACCACTACGCGCTACTCAGTAAGGGGTGTTTCAGACACAAGTTACATATTCATCACACATTCACCACTACGCGTTACTCAGGAAGGGGTGTTTCAAACCCGAGTTACATATTCATCACACATTCACCACTACGCGTTACTCAGGAAGGGGTGTTTCAAACCCGAGTTACATATTCATCACACATTCACCACTACTTTTCTACTCAGTAAGGGGTGTTTCAAACCCGAGTTACACATTCATCTCACATTCATCACTACGCGCTACTCAGTAAGGGGTGTTTCAGATACGAGTTACATATTCATCACACATCCATCATTACTTTTCTACTCGTAAGGGGTGTTTCAGACACGATTTACATATTCACCACACATTCACCACTACGCGCTACTCAGTAAGGGGTGTTTCAGACACGAGTTACATATTCATCACACATTCACCACTACGCGCTACTCAGTAAGGGGTGTTTCAGACACGAGTTACATATTCATCACACATTCACCACTACGCGCTACTCAGTAAGGGGTGTTTCAGATACGAGTTACATATTCATCACACATCCATCATTACTTTTCTACTCGTAAGGGGTGTTTCAGACACGATTTACATATTCACCACACATTCACCACTACGCGCTACTCAGTAAGGGGTGTTTCAGACACGAGTTACATATTCATCACACATTCAACACTACGCGCTACACAGTAAGGGGTGTTTCAGACACGAGTTACATATTCATCACACATCCATCATTACTTTTCTACTCGTAAGGGGTGTTTCAGACACGATTTACATATTCACCACACATTCACCACTACGCGCTACTCAGTAAGGGGTGTTTCAGACACGAGTTACATATTCATCACACATTCAACACTACGCGCTACACAGTAAGGGGTGTTTCAGACACGAGTTACATATTCATCACACATTCATCACTACTTGTCTACTCGTAAGGGGTGTTTCAGACACGAGTTACATATTCATCACCCATTTACCACTACGCGCTACTCAGTAAGGTGTGTTTCAAACCCGAGTTACACATTCATCTCACATTCATCACTACGCGCTACTCAGTAAGGGGTGTTTCAGACACGAGTTACATATTCATCACACATCCATCACTACTTTTCTACTCGTAAGGGGTGTTTCAGACACGAGTTACATATTCATCACACATTCACCACTACGCGCTACTCAGTAAGGGGTGTTTCAGACACGAGTTACATATTCATCACACATTCACCACTACGCGCTACTCAGTAAGGGGTGTTTCAGACACGAGTTACATATTCATCACACATTCACCACTACGCGCTACTCAGTAAGGGGTGTTTCAGACACGAGTTACATATTCATCACACATCCATCACTACTTTTCTACTCGTAAGGGGTGTTTCAGACATGAGTTACATATTCATCACACATTCACCACTACGCGCTACTCAGTAAGGGGTGTTTCAGACACGAGTTACATATTCATCACACATCCATCACTACTTTTCTACTCGTAAGGGGTGTTTCAGACACGAGTTACATATTCATCACACATTCACCACTACGCGCTACTCAGGAAGGGGTGTTTCAGACACGAGTTACATATTCATCACACATTCACCACTACGCACTACTCAGTAAGGGGTGTTTCAGACACGAGTTACATATTCATCACACATCCATCACTACTTTTCTACTCGTAAGGGGTGTTTCAGACACGAGTTACATATTCATCACCCATTTACCACTACGCGCTACTCAGTAAGGTGTGTTTCAAACCCGAGTTACACATTCATCTCACATTCATCACTACGCGCTACTCAGTAAGGGGTGTTTCAGACACGAGTTACATATTCATCACACATCCATCACTACTTTTCTACTCGTAAGGGGTGTTTCAGACACGAGTTACATATTCATCACACATTCACCACTACGCGCTACTCAGTAAGGGGTGTTTCAGACACGAGTTACATATTCATCACACATTCACCACTACGCGCTACTCAGGAAGGGGTGTTTCAGACACGAGTTACATATTCATCACACATCCATCACTACTTTTCTACTCGTAAGGGGTGTTTCAGACACGAGTTACATATTCATCACACATTCACCACTACGCGCTACTCAGTAAGGGGTGTTTCAGACACGAGTTACATATTCATCACACATCCATCACTACTTTTCTACTCGTAAGGGGTGTTTCAGACACGAGTTACATATTCATCACACATTCACCACTACGCGCTACTCAGGAAGGGGTGTTTCAGACACGAGTTACATATTCATCACACATTCACCACTACGCGCTACTCAGGAAGGGGTGTTTCAGACACGAGTTACATATTCATCACACATTCACCACTACGCGCTACTCAGGAAGGGGTGTTTCAGACACGAGTTACATATTCATCACACATCCATCACTACTTTTCTACTCGTAAGGGGTGTTTCAGACATGAGTTACATATTCATCACACATTCACCACTACGCGCTACTCGTAAGGGGTGTTTCAGTCACGAATTACATATTCATCACACATTCACCACTACGCGCTACTCGTAAGGGATGTTTCAGCCCCGAGTTACATATTCATCACACATTCACAACTACGCGCTACTCGTAAGGGGTGTTTCAGTCCCGAGTTACATATTCATCACACATTCACCACTACGCGCTACTCAGTAAGGGGCGTTTCAGACCCAAGTATTACATTCATCACTACGCGTTATTCAGTAAGGAGTGTTTCAGACACGAGTTACATATTCATCACACATTCATCACTACGCACTGCCCAGTAAGGGGCGTTTCAGACTCGAGTTTTACATTCATCACACATTCATCACTACGCGCTTCTGGGTATTGAATTTATCTCAGAAGACCTCATCAGACAATCCAGCATATAAGACATAGTTCAATATGACAATCCCTCCACACATACCCCGTGTTGTCGGAGTCGTGCAGGTTGCAGCGTTACATATACACGGGTCGTCCAGTATATCGGCAAGTCAACAGTTTGCTAACACTGACTTGGGCGGAATTGCGAGACTTAGAAGGCGGGTAAATGTCTTCACACAGGTATGTTCTTTATACTGCTGTCAAATGTCAGCGTTAACTTCATTACCACCCTGATGGATGCATTAGTAGGTCATGACGACTTGCCAAGATTCTAACTGCTCTCAAAGATGTAGGCTACTCCCTGTTCAGTGCCAGAAACGCTTGTTTTTAGGGATAGTTGGGGGAGTTTTGAACGCTTTTCGCTAGATAAAAATTACACGTGCCTTGGCTCTAACCGAAGCAAACACTTCCTTACTGATGGTGTTAAGGTCATCGTACAACTTAAATATCTTCAATGTTTGTTGAGGGATTAAAAGTAATTGTAAATGTTGATGTAGCTTACCAAAATGCGTTACATTATTAACTTTATCCTTCTGCGTCTCCTGAAGCTTTTAAGAACGACACACTACTATTTACTAATGTAATTAACAGTAATGGTAAAAGCACATTGGGACTGATTAAGATGACGAATAAACATAGTAAATAATTCAAGGTTATATGGATTACTTCCTATTCCAGTTCACTCTTTCTTGTGAAGAATTAACACTACTGTTTATTACTTACTCGCCTTTGAGAGCTTCACATCGCCAATATGTGCTGCCGAAGTTATTTTATAAACCTTGTTCTTATGCTCCAGCTATTTTATAAATTTAACCTACAAATACCTCAGCGACATGTGATGCCATTTATTACTAAATACTTAAGTTTACTTTAATTGCAGTTAAAAATATTTTTAAAATGTATTATAATGAGTTCATTAGTTTATGACTACTCTTAGCTTGTAAAAGATCGGCTTGAATTCGTTGTAGAGTGCTTAATATACATTGGCTGTTGGAGCTGAAAACCACCCGCTAAAGAGCATCAAGTTCACGGCAATGGTTCACAGATTTGGCAATATCAAGTGTTGCCATGGCTACATGAGTATATATAAGACGGTGGTACCTAGTATTTCACTGTCCTGGAAGTCGTCACACTGCGGCCGTCCCCTCTCGAACACGCATACGCGAATCATCACCTGGCAGTTGGTGCAGTCGTACCCATCCCTGACCTCAAGTCTCTCCACTCGGATCTCAATGGTTCCAAGAGAGTAGACGCTCTGCAAGCACAAAATGTTTACATATATGTTATTAAACGGTATTATTAATAATACTAGAAACAGGCATATGCTAAAAATTATGTGTGTTTCAGTCATTGGCAGGAGCAAAGCCCCCGTAAACCCCTATATAAGTTCAGCTTGTTGAACACGGTCGCCCATCCAGCTACTCTACGTAACCAGCGTTGCTTGATTGTCACTTTCGCGCTGTACAAAGGTTCAAGTACAAACCTCAAGTAAATTTTAAGTCTACATGAAGGTCAATAAGGCCCATAGTCATGTTTTTGGAGAACATATGGTTGTGGGGTACCACTGTTGCGTAGTGTTATAAAGATATATATTTCAAAGGGTTGACCATCCTAATGTGGTTTCGACGTCGTGTAGCTTTTGCTATGTTTTGGACAGACTGTCTGTTGCCTAGCCGTGTGTGTGTGTGTGTGTGTGTGTGTGCGTGCGTGCGTGCGTGCGTGCGTGTGCGTGTGCGTGTGCGTGTGTGTGTGTGTGTGTGTGTGTGAGAGAGAAGGAAACCTGATGTAATCGGATGTAGTCAGTATATTGTATATACTGTATTACTTTAGTGTTACTAGGCCCTAGACGCAGGTCTCAAAATCAATCCCATATTTTAACAATATTCCACTTCTGTTCAGATTGGGCCTACACTTTCATTAGTTTCAGATGTTCTTGTCTTAAAAATAGAATGTAATTGTTCAGTTATCGCCGTTTTAATTCTTTTAAAAGTGCCAGATCTCTCAAATATTTTAAAAGTAACTTTGATTCCAATTTTATTTGTAATCATAATAATCATATCAGGATCATGTCAAACTTCAAATGAATGAAAATCATAGGATCCGTCTATAGAAATAAATATATATACATAGGATACGTCTATAGAAATAAATATATATACATAGGATACGTCTATAGAAATAAATATATATACATAGGATACGTCTATAGAAATAAATATATATACATAGGATACGTCTATAGAAATAAATATATATACATAGGATACGTCTATAGAAATAAATATATATACATAGGATACGTCTATAGAAATAAATATATATACATAGGATACGTCTATAGAAATAAATATATATACATAGGATACGTCTATAGAAATAAATATATATACATAGGATACGTCTATAGAAATTAATATATATACATAGGATACGTCTATAGAAATAAATATATATACATAGGATCCGTCTATAGAAATAAATATATATACATAGGATACGTCTATAGAAATAAATATATATACATAGGATACGTCTATAGAAATAAATATATATACATAGGATACGTCTATAGAAATAAATATATATACATAGGATACGTCTATAGAAATAAATATATATACATAGGATACGTCTATAGAAATAAATATATATACATAGGATAATGTCTATAGAAATAAATATATATACATAGGATACGTCTATAGAAATAAATATATATACATAGGATACGTCTATAGAAATAAATATATATACATAGGATACGTCTATAGAAATAAATATATATACATAGGATACGTCTATAGAAATAAATATATATACATAGGATACGTCTATAGAAATAAATATATATACATAGGATACGTCTATAGAAATAAATATATATACATAGGATACGTCTATAGAAATAAATATATATACATAGGATACGTCTATAGAAATAAATATATATACATAGGATACGTCTATAGAAATAAATATATATACATAGGATACGTCTATAGAAATAAATATATATACATAGGATACGTCTATAGAAATAAATATATATACATAGGATACGTCTATAGAAATAAATATATATACATAGGATACGTCTATAGAAATAAATATATATACATAGGATACGTCTATAGAAATAAATATATATACATAGGATACGTCTATAGAAATAAATATATATACATAGGATACGTCTATAGAAATAAATATATATACATAGGATACGTCTATAGAAATAAATATATATACATAGGATACGTCTATAGAAATAAATATATATACATAGGATACGTCTATAGAAATAAATATATATACATAGGATACGTCTATAGAAATAAATATATATACATAGGATACGTCTATAGAAATAAATATATATACATAGGATACGTCTATAGAAATAAATATATATACATAGGATACGTCTATAGAAATAAATATATATACATAGGATACGTCTATAGAAATAAATATATATACATAGGATACGTCTATAGAAATAAATATATATACATAGGATACGTCTATAGAAATAAATATATATACATAGGATACGTCTATAGAAATAAATATATATACATAGGATACGTCTATAGAAATAAATATATATACATAGGATACGTCTATAGAAATAAATATATATACATAATATATAAAGAAATTATGTCTCCTTTGCAGAATATATCTGTTCATTTAGATTTCATGCTACACGAAATCAGAGGATATTATAATTAATCACCTTATGCTCTTTGCATGACATATACATGTGAAATCAACTGTTGCGTTGACCCATTGCCCGGTACTACATGTAGTCTCGACCATAAGCCGACCATCGTTTCACTTATTTGAAACAGTTACACATGCTATTTGTCAAAATGATTCATTTTTTAGTAAACCAATCCACGTATACACGTGATTCGTTTTAGAAGCTTATAGAGACTGAACAAATATTTGCTGTGATCATTATACGGATCTACTACATTTAGATGACGGTTCGTGATGAATATATTTGAGAAGGTAACGCACAAACATACGCCTTTTAGAATATATGAAAACGCTTAGCAGAACAAACAATGACAAATGTGCATTTCAAATTATAATTTGAGCCTGGACAGTCAGTTTGACCTTCGAAGATGTAGTGCTCTTAGTTGTTGTACAATTTTGTGTAACGAATTCATACGAAGGTAAATTTCACGTAAACCACCATATCATCCTATCTTCAACACAGGTGTTTCATGAACATATTCTGTTATATCCCAGAGTGACCTGAATTTTGTCCAAATGTTCACATGTATTAATACGAAGGATGTATTTGTTGAATAACACGTTTCCGAATGATTTAGGTCTAAAATACACCCCTATGTTTAAATGCAGCAATTTAGTCTCATCTGTAGGTTATTCAGACCATGCAATACGACATGTATAACATGCACAAAGAAAAAATGGTTCCGATGCTGTTGGAAAAATGCTGCGAATTCCTGTTAAACGTTAAACCACATTCTTCACAACCCCACATTTCACCCAAATAGGCAAAGGCGGAAGTAATCGATATGTCAGAGTGCAGCATGGCCTCAAGTGTTTGTTGTTTGCTGAGAGTCACCGACCAGACAATTGACGTTTAAAGAGAGGGTTGTAACTTGCAACAACACAACATACATGTTGTTATTAACAGTTGTCAATTTCCTGATCAACAACATTTTCTAAACGAATTCAGTTTCCAACTTGACAAAACACATTCTAAATACTTTGCAGCGTTTGTCATCTTTGGTTAAACAAGGACGTGTCCAAGTTCAAGACAGAAAAATATCACCTGTTTTTACAAGTGGATGTAATTATCAGTGAATGAGACATTTCACAGAATGTGCATCACCTCAATTTGAAATGTCACACTTTTACCCATTTGCTGATTTCATTGGTAGCGAGACGATTTTAGCGAGTGTAGTTATTTTAATCGGTTAGAATATCTCAGGCTGAAGTAAAGACAAACCTCAGAATCAAATGTGTCATAATCCTGAGTAGTGTTCTAGGCAAATCAAGAGACGTGATGCACTCAGTTGCCCCACTGGAAATAAATGACAATGTCCACTGACAGTTGTCAGATGTTCAGTATTCCATTGACGAGATGCACGTCTACATATTATGTTGACACAAACTCCGATCTCGACTACCAAACGTGCAGTTCGCTGCATTGAGAAAATAAAAAGCCGAAAACAGATTCAACCGAACGATTAAATACTTACACACATCACAAAGAATTGCATTCTGGGAACATTTACGAACTCTAACGTGTTTTTGACTGGAACTGCTTACACAGGATTAAATTCTGAAGCTATTGTTCTATTTTGGAACTCTATCGGAATTTTTTTTTTAAAAATAATGAAAATCATCTCAGAAACATGGCCTTACTAACCTTCTGATGAGCGTAATACTTTGTTTCAATGCAAACTCATGTTTGTTGTATAGGGGGTTACCCCCCTATACAACACATGTTCAAATATGTGTCAGATGGTTTTCTTACAAACGTGATGACCTATCATGCCAACTTTCCCTCATCTGAAGGAACACGTTTCTGTCACATGTATCCTGTACGAGATTACCTGGTATTATCATTGATTGATTCATGTCATTTCACGCCCTTTTTGCGTTTTTATGTATTTGGTATCTGTTGCTGTGTCGTATAATTGTTGGCCTCTGGTGCTGACGTTTTGACGTATTATGAGCGCACAGCGTTGCGTGGAACCATTGACCACTGACTATTCTACAGGCAGGAACTAGACCATGCCTGTGTAATGACGTCTTCCTACATACATGATGACACCGTCAACCAGTTGCATTGGGATTTGGAAAGCGAAAAAATGACCTCAAACTTAATCCAACCTTTGTATAGTTCTACCAATTGTCGAAACTATTGAAATTAACCCATGTGAAAGACTTTTTATTCATAAAAAATGAAGTACACTGCCCTTTACCTTATCACACCGAGGCATTATCAGCCACACTGGTTTTGTAATCTTTGATTGACATTTAGAACTTCGCCAGGTTAAATGTCAGTCTTGATAATCTCACGAAACACATTCCATGGGGTCTAAAAGGTAAACTAGTGGAGGAAAATATCCCAATAGACAACTAAAAACGTTTATTGACAAGAAACCTTTATTGAAGACGTGATTATATCTATTCATCTGTGTGTAAAGTGATGTGGTGTATGCCAATATTGTCCTTGTAACATATGTCAATCGTGTGTGTTTCCAGAGC